CGCGACGACCGAGTTGCCCGATTCAACCGATCGCCGTTCCTAACTCCTGGAGACGCACGCGTTGCCCGATTCAACCGGCGTCCCCGCTTCCTGCGACCGCGCCCCTGCTCATATTAAATGTAAATATTTCAGTGTAAATAGTATTTTGTAGTTAGAGTCTCCAATAAATCTAAGTTGTAAATAGCGCACTCACTCGCACACACTCTCTCATCGCCTCTCACACGGATCCGGACTCCGGCGAGCGAAATCCGGCACGCAGAAAAACGAAACGTTACAACCTTATTCCAGCCGTCCGACGTGGTCGGCTGGGAGGAGGAGCGGGTCGCGACCCCTCTAGCAGGCTGCACTTTTTTCTTCCCGGCCTCTCGTGAGGCGGCAGCGATTCCCCCCTTCTGTCCCTCCTTCTGACCTACGAGCCCCCTCAATTTACCCTCGGGGCCTCCCTGGGCACTTTCCTTCCCCTTCACTTGGGGAACTGCCGGGGTTGAACTGACCTGGGGCGCAGCGCCCTCCTTCCCCTTCTTCCCCTTCTTTCTCTTGTTCCTCTTTTTCCGGGCCTTGCGGCCCCCCTCAGTGGGAACCACTTCCGGGGTCCGGGAGGGTTCAGCTGTCCCCCCATCACGGCCGTTGGGGGGAAGGAGGAGGGGCGACGATGCTCCTCAGCCTCCACGTCCATCGCCGATTCGGATTCCTCAGGCGGAGGTACGGGCGGATGGATGCCCATACTGGCAAGCAGCCTTGGGATGAGCTTCTCCACGGCCACCTCCAGACCGGCATTGGAAGGAGCAGCGGAATCCGTTTCCGCCACTCTCTCTCTCTCAATAATATGAGAGACCCCCTTAAGCGGGGGCCTAATTGCCTGTGGAATAATTTCCCGAGGCTGCGGGCGGCAGGAGGGGTCAGGGGGGGGTCTGGGAGGAAAATGATCGTCCCCCTCATACTCTCCCCCTCCGATTCCGACTCGACAATCGCCGGCCGCGTCGCCATCCTCCTCAACCTCGGAGTGGGTTGAGGGCTAGGAGCCCTCGCAGCCACTCTGGATCGCTCCTCCTCCAATTTCTTAATTTTGGCCTTCAGGTTCTCATTCTCGGACCTGATGCTCTCATTTTCGGCCTTGATGTGCGTCAGGTCCCCCTTTAGCTGGCGGACCTTCTTCCTGATGTCCTCCCATTCGGCCTCCGCCACCGCGTGACCAGGTTGCTGCGCTCTCTGGTTGTCGGCTGCCGAGATGTGGGCCGAAGTGTTCCACAGCGCTTGCACCGTGGTACCA